AGACAAGTTCGGTCTTGTTATTATAAAGTTAAATGCGATGTTTTTCGTTCTTTAAACATTTTGATAAGTATTTTTTATCTTCAGAGTTATTTTTAGCTGCTAAGAATTTTAGTTATTTAGAACAAGCGGAATTACCAGCTTAGTTGTCAATCTACCCTACATTTACCGAATAAAGTTTTACTGAAAAACATAACGTAACATAATTTTTTTACTACTTCTATTTTTCATAATAAGTAAATATATGTATGCAATAAAAAGTATCTTATCAATAGTAAAACATTTATCTTGAAAAATAGATACAAATAAGGAGAAATGTTACAATTTCTTAGTATCTGAGATAATCTTTTCCATTATTTAAAGTAAATACAATAAGACAACATTTAACGAGGACTTAGACGATGAAATATATAGAGCTTTTCTGCTCCGCTTGACTTACACATGGGATGAGTGTGTGTATTTGAACGTTATTTGCGGTGTCTCTTCCTCCCACTACACAACTTTTGCTCACTCAACCAACTTGGGGGATGTTAAACAGTTCGCACGATACCGCTTCCACAGTATTGTGATGGCACGTGAACGTAAAACGTCGAAATAGAATTGTATCGCAACGTTGAAACGTTACTTATAACTTTATGTGAATTAAAGAAAAAACAAAAATGTGAATTTAATTAATTAGATTCGTTTGAAATTAAGAAAAAATGGGAACCTTCTATTAATAAGTTTTGTGGATTATTTAGAGTGATTATTTATTCCTTAATTAACATTTGTTTATGGATTTAAATTGTTTAAATAAAAAATAAATTAAAAAATGGGTATCGTAACGAAGACAATCAGCGTGATTTTTAGTCTGTAAGTTTTTATTTTATTTTCTTTTAATAGTAAGTAAATTAAAAAAAATCAATTTTTATCTAATCTGAACGGTTATTTCGATTTTTATTGGTACCAATTAATACTTTATGGGCCGTAATAAAAAGAAAAGTAATAAGACTAATATGTACGGAGAAATCTAGATTAATTTCATTAATTTCGAACATGTATACCTCTCAAGGTTTTTTATTTCGATTTCTTTTTTGTAAGAAATATTTTTGCAACATTTTATTCATAACAAAAAAAAAATCCAAACGAATAATCATGAAGAATACAAATAAATCCTAGTTTTAATAAAATTAAGGTTAAACATTAATTAATTAATAACTAACTCTTATACAAAGCTTCTTCCATTAAAAGATAAGAATGGTATTCAGACTAAATGGAAACCCGTTATCTCCTTATTAAACAAAATTTAACGTCCAGTTTTGGCCTCTTCTAAATAGGACTATAAAACCTTGATTTGATAGAATCGACATTATTCAATCTATATTGTTTGTAAACACATTTCATAAACGGTTTATCATTTTAATTAAAATGATATAAAAAGTAATTTTCAGAAATAATTAAAAAGGTACTAATAAAATGGACATTAAATTAAATTATTGATGAAGAAAAAGAAAAATGTTTTTTTTGTAATTTATCATTTCCGGTTGATAATATTATTATTTATGCAGATAAACCACATTTCAGATTGAAAAGCCACAAAGTCAACACCCGTAACGTTACATTTAAAATATTAGTACATAAATATGTATTGTAGATAATACACAGAGATAGTTTTGTTAAAAATTCGGCTTCCCTTGAGTATGATTGTAATAGAAATCGATAGCGAAAACCATAATAACGAGATATCTGATTATTTTGAACATCTCATATAATATTGTTATAAACGTTACCATTGATATTGTTGAATATCCTGAGGATGAACATATTGTATCGAAATCGGCAGCGAACATATATCATTTGAAAGTGCAAACTTAATATTTTATGTCATTTCAACAAGATGATTTTATTGATTTCAAAACGTAAAGCGGCAACCAATGGCAACAACTATGGCACCATGACTGAAGAGGTATTTTTAGTGTTCATTAATTATTTTACATTAACAATATGTATATCTCAATTTCTGGATATCTGGAAATTTATCAATCTTGCTGGACATTCTATAGGTCCTCTTTGTCCTCTCCATTTATTTCGAAATACATTATCTATCTCATGTTGAAAAATATAACTCAACCTCATCAAGTAGGATATTTCCTTCTGTATCCAAAACATTTTCGTGGGCTTCATTGACATTTTTTCCCACACATCCAAATATGCTTTGCCGTTTAGATTTCGACTTTGCTGTTTACCCAAGTAAATTCAAATTGTATCAGAAATCTGTCATAACAATGTTAGCGTTAAGGACAAAAATTTTAAAAATCTGCAAAGACGGGAGATGGGGAAAGGAGAAATTTATAGATTTTACCATGCGAGCGGATAATTTTGTGGGGGCTCATATTAAGCAGAAAGTTAGGAAAGCAAGTTGATTATTAGGCCAGATATGGAGCTGGGGGAACGAATTTCGAAAAGATTTGAGCAAGCGGAAAATAATGTTTGATGGATAGGTGAAGAACGTGATAATGTATGGAGCAAAAATCTTGGGGAACACAAATGGTGGAAGAGATCCAGTAAAGATATTGGAGGTGAGTTTTGGGGTTGAGCAGGGAGATTCTGGGATACATAGTGAGAGAAGACTTAAATGACAAGATGGATGGAGAAGCTACTTTAAGATTTTGGGAAAGTGTCAAAGGGAGTTTAAGACTGGACTGGGGGAATATGGACAACAAGAAAGAAGGGAATATTAGAGATTAAGAAGGAGAGATTAAGAGGATTTAAGAAGGAATTATATAAGAGTAGAGTACTCAACAAGGAAATACAAAGAAGTAAGAGGAAAGGGTGTGTGGAAAGAGTTGGAGGGTAGAAATAGAAATATGGATAAACAAGAACGGCGTGCTCAGGTGGAAGAGGAGAAATACAAAGATTTGTTTTGTATACAGTATTGTTTGGTCTATTAGTCATTTCATCTAGTTAGCTACAATTTCAGTTCGCTTCGTTATTCCAAATCTCTGTTTCTGCCAAATAATGTAACTCTGGGTTTGACATTACTTCTTTAAATTTGTAACGGGTGTGACACAGTTTCGGTTTTGATGTTTTTAATGTTGTAGTTCTGATATAACACTCGTTATATTTTATAAACATACAAACCAAAATTCTTTATGTCGAATATTTCAATGATGACCAATTTAACGTATATTTTAATACATTCTTTATATTTATTCTTAGAATAACCTTAATTAATATATTATCAATACCTACGATTGTTATTTTTTTCTTTTTGAAGTTTATTTTTATTTTATGTTAAATATTTATACAAAGATGGGTTGTTATCGAATAACTTATCCTGCATGAAGATTAGAATTAGTCACATCCTCAAACAACGATATTTATTTATTTGTGAATCTCAAAGAAAAAATAATCTTTTTAAGAACAGTTGAAAGAAAGATTTAAACTATATAAACACAGTTGGAACTTTAAAAATTTAATTCTAAACTAGAAACGTACAAAACGCACAAGCATATTTTCTGCAAAACGTTTTGTGAAATTTAAGTGGCGAAGAATACGGAGTAAAATTCTTTAGTAAAACAATTTTTGCGTTATTATACGTACGTTACGGTTTCTGGTGTAACGTTTGCTGATTCTTGAATACATAATCAACGGGATTTAACTATTTATCGACCTCTTTCTCATTGTCCGGCCGCTTTTGCATTGCAAATAACTTATATCCTGGCCAAAATCTAGATTTCTTCAATCGTAACCGGTAGTTAATTATAGCACTATTAGCTTTCTCTTCGATCCCCGTGCGACATTTTGGCCCTTAAATACAAAAATTAAAAGGTGGTACAAGTATAAAAATAACCACGCGTGGGGCTTTTCATATTTTTGGTAAAGGATAAATTTAGATTTTAACTTAGAGATTTCTTAAGAAAAGAAATTGTTTCTAATCAGATAAAAATCCTTTCGGACACTTTCTTAGAAGCGTTTTTTCTAAGCTAGTAACGATTTTATGCATAAGATAAAAAGAAATGGTGCGTTGAAAATGTACTAAGAAAAAAGTACCGTTTTATAGATTTTTATCTAAATAAAACCACGAAATGCAAGTTAAAATAATATATAAATCTATATTATAGTCAAAAAATAAAAGTAAATTTAATTTAAAACGGTGTTACGTTACTTACAGTTTCAATCTTCGCGGACGTGAAAGTACTTTTATAAAAATAATGAGAATACAATTAACGGGCTAATTGTTTAGAACAATGTGCAAATACCGTGGCGATACTCACGGTGTGATTTTCGAAAATCGCGAACCACTTTCTTTTAGCGAAGGACGCATTTCCGTTCGCTCCAGTTAAAAAGAATTATCTCAAAATAAATTCATCTTAAAAAATTAATTTCTCTAGCTAGTCTCTTAAGACGGTTAAATCCGAATGATTCTAGTTCTAGATTTAGTGTTAGTTCTAATGCTATTGTCAGTTCTAATATCAGTTGTTATTCAGCATTAGATTGTTATATATTTTTCATTAAACTAAAACTGAAACTAGAACTAGGTCTAGCGTTAGTTCTAGTGGTAGTGTTAGCTCTAGTTTTAATTATTATTCAGCGTTAGACTAGTTAGTTCTAGTTTAACATTTTCTTTTTATTTCTTTTAACCAAAAATTTTGTTAAATTTCCTTTGATATAACTTAACTTTTAGTTTAAGAACGTTTATTTCTAATAAATGTTCTAGAATTCTATGATAAATTCACTATTAGTCATTTCAATGAACACTCACCGAATAACTTCTTGTTTTTCAACACAAAATATTTGTCATTGTAAATGACAAGTTTATAATCGAGATGCACCACAAAGTCAAGGTTAAAGGTTTCAAATGTTGTAAGGTAACCCTGGGTTTTATTCCGTTATTATTTTTTATGAAAATTGCTGGTTACACCTGGTGGATATTATTAAGGTCATCAAGAACAATAACTAGGAAAAAGAAACTAATTTCGAATTAAAATTTTTTAAATAAATCATTTTTTATTTTTTTGCAGTTTATTTGAGCAGGAAATTATGTCATACGTTCCTGCTGTTACTTCAACGAATACAGGTCAAAATAACAGAAGTTCTCCACAAGCATCCCCAGTGGCGTCACCTGGTTTAGGAAGACATCGAGCACCTGCTCCGCATAGGCGTGACTTTGAAACGAAACTCAGAAATTTTTATCGCAAATTAGAAAGCAAAGGATATGGGCAAGGACCAGGAAAGTTTAAGTAAGAACTTTAAATTTTAATAAATTTAAAGATGCTAAATATCTAAACAAATTTTAGATTAAATATTAGACGTGAACACCTATTAGAAGACGCGTTTAGAAAAATTATGTCCGCGAATAAAAAAGAACTTCAAAAAGGTAAACTTTGCGTTGTTTGGGATAACGAAGAAGGCTTGGATTATGGGGGACCTTCAAGGGAATTCTTCTTTTTGTTATCTCGCGAGCTTTTTAATCCTTATTATGGACTATTTGAGTATTCGGCCAATGACACTTATACCGTCCAAGTATCACCGATGTCCGCTTTTGTAGATAACTACCATGATTGGTAAAAAATTACCATTCTATATCAATACTTCGTATTATTAATAAATATATTTTTTTAGGTTTCGTTTTAGTGGGAGAGTATTAGGTTTGGCTTTAGTCCACCAATATCTCTTAGATGCATTTTTTACACGACCATTTTATAAAGCTCTCTTAAGATTACCAGTAGCTTTATCGGATTTAGAAAGTTTAGATTTCGAATTTCATCAATCGTTACAATGGATCAAAGATCACGATGTAACTGGGCAAGGAGAATTAGAACTTACATTTGCTGTTACTGAAGAAGTTTTTGGGCAAGTACTCGAAAGAGAATTAAAACCTGGCGGAAGAAATGTTCCTGTTACTGAAAAAAATAAAAAGGTAAATTTTTCCTCAAATCTAATAAAAGTAAAATCCTTGAAAATTAACAAAAAAAGAAACCTTCGTTTAAAAGATAATCAATACACCTTGACATAATTTGATTGCAATTTATTTTTCTTTTTACATTAACTTTTTTTTATTTCATTAATTTATTTACGTTGTTCAATTTTTTTATAGGAATATTTAGAAAGAATAGTTAGATGGAGATTGGAACGTGGCGTTGCCGAACAAACTGAATCTTTAGTGCGCGGCTTCTATGAAGTCGTCGATCCGCGTTTAGTGAGCGTTTTTGATGCTCAAGAGCTTGAACTAGTCATGGCTGGAACAGCCGAAATAGATCTATCAGATTGGAGGCAAAACACTGAATACCGCGGAGGATATCATGATCAACATCCCGTTGTAGTTTGGTTTTGGCAAGCTATTGAAAGGTAAAATAATTTTGCTTTGATTAAAATTAACCTTTAAATTATACTTTATTATTATTTGTTATTTAGATTTACAAATGAACAGAGATTAAGGTTGCTTCAATTCGTAACTGGAACATCAAGCATCCCTTACGAAGGTTTTTCAGCTTTAAGAGGCTCAATAGGACCTAGAAAATTCTGTATAGAAAAATGGGGTAAACCAAATAGCTTACCCAGAGCGCATACATGTTTTAATCGTTTAGATTTACCACCTTATCCGACTTCCGAAGTTTTATACGAAAAATTGTTACTGGCAGTGGAAGAAACCAATACATTTGGCATTGAGTAAAGTTTTTAAATTTGTTTTAAATTATTTCTTGTTCGCATATATTTTCGTATTGAGGTTATTATATCTATTTAACTATATTAAATTTGACAATAACTTCTTTGATCATTAAAAAAAATTAAAATAAGGCTTAAATTTGATGATTGACCTCTGTTAATGTTCTTTTAGAAGTAACTTTTTTCTTTATTTATAGAAACGTTTGTCTTTTTCCTAAGATTTTTTTGTATATTGTTAAAACAATCTTAAAAAAGCAGAGATTTAAAACATTTTATTACATAAATAACTTATACTTTGTGTACTTTGTACCGTTACCAAATTAATTGTAAGTAAAAAAAATGGGCAAATTGTATGAATGTTATTCTTGAGATTTTTTTCTAAGCGAAAATGATTTATATAAGTGTAATTTTTTCCCAGGTTTTTTTTATGTCATGTGTTATTGTGATTTTAAAAAGTCTAGTCATCGAAATAATATTATATTATGATTATCTATATGGTCGTTTAATATTTAGGGAATACGAAATGGTAATTAATAACCGCGCAGTTTTAATGGTAACGTTCTTTTTTTATTTTTTTAGTTGGAAGAGATTTTTTTTATTTGCGTAAGTTATCGCATAACAAATCTGGCTGAACGTGCATTATCAATGTTATTTATATGCGCGAGTATTTAATTTTGGAAATTTTGTGTAACGATTGAGACATTCCCGAAATAAATGTTTGTTATTTATAAATTTGTACTTTTTATAATCCTTATAAAATGATGTATATAGTTTCATGTGGGGGTGAATTCTTTCAAAACACTTAGGCCCCAGAGGGTCCTTTGTATATCCCCACAATTTACAGTTCATTCAGAGATCAGAAAAACAGCCCAGGATCTGTAAACCAACCACAGCTGTCTGTACTGCGTGACCTTTCGCCTTAGCCTGAACAACTCAGCTTGCTAGCATTGTTTTTATCCAGCCTGTGATGACCAATGGCACTCTTTAAGATTCTAGTGCCAGATTAATACTTCTAAAGGTGGTTTTGTCACCTCTATGTCAAAAGCTCCTAATATAGACTCGTTCGAATTATAAAATAATATGAAAGAAGATTCTAAATATTTATATTCTATTACTCTAAGTTACATATGTACAAACAAAATTGTTTTTATTACTAATATTTATTACTAATAACATTTCATATTTCACTTTTTATCTTTAATACTTAATCCAAGTCCAACCAATAATGCAACAATAGTAAATCCTTGCGCAGCCACTCTTGTTCTCATCATCATCTGTGACATTTTTGTATTTCCACTACTAAAGCTCCAAATTCCATAACCCAAAGCAGCCGTTGTAGCCAAACATCCTATGCAATAAATAAAATTGTATTTATATAATAAACTTTATGAATAAACAAAGAAATAAAGGCAACAGAAACTCTGTGTACCGAATTAACAAGGTTTTGTGGCAATTTTACCAATAGGAACGAAAGGATTTTCCTTCATTTTCCGGATGAATTTATCCTTAGTTGTTTCAGTACCCATTAACCCCATTTGATCATGTAGGGTAATCCAATCGAATTCAACCTCTTCTTGTTTGTTACCCATCGTTTAAAGTTTTAATTCGAGCTAAAAAGAAAATAAATTGATATTTTTGTAGGTTAAGGGCGATGACAGTTGAGGTTATGTTGTATCAAATTTGACTAATTAAAACAACATAGTTTATTATGTTGTTTTAACAACGTTATATAATAATTCTATTAGTAATTTTTTACTATTAATAATTAATATGTTATAGTAATATTATTTGAAAAGGTATTTACGTTTTAGTTAATTTTGAGATTTTGGTAACGGCGTTATTTGGGTTATATAAACGATGTTATTTTATTTAGAGGATTTCATTGTTACATTTCTTCTGATACATATTTCAATTCAAATAATCAATTTTAATAGATTTTAATCCCAATAGATGTAATTTTTAAAAGTTAAGTGACATTGTCAAACCTTGTTTCAAATTTTTTGTGATAAATTTTGAATATTATAGATGGCGGTATTTGGGTTGTATAAACTTAAAAATTAAAAAAATTATAATTTCGATTTTTATTATTATTTACGTAATAATAACAAAAAAAATAATTAATTGTTAATAAATAATTTTTATAAATGAAACATTTTAAATACGAATTTAATAATATATTAGTTTAAAAGTTGATCAATAGATGGCGATGTAGTGAAAAAAAGTTTTTTTTTCTTTTTGAAAGTGTCCCCTTCCTCGGGCTGGAACAATGCAAGTAGAGGAGGAAGCATGCGTACCGTTGGGATCAACGGAGGTAGATCTGGCCTTCAGTGCATAGCAAGCCTTGGCGTTGTCACTACGGCTTGATTTTGTAGGCGATATCCCATGTTTTCAGCAGTATTCCACGCCGAAAGGCCTTCGCGAGTGTCTTTATCCTCAAATATGTAAGTTGCGAACATTCTGCGTGTGCATTTCGTTTAAAATAAAAATTCCACGAATTAATTTGTGAAAGAAATACGTAAACGGATCAACCGACAGAACGAGCGTCGTCCCAACGACATAACCTTTAAAACTTTCAACGGACAGACGACAGACAGCTGGCTGTGTACGGAACAAACGACGATCGTACTATTCGTGTTCTTTCTTGACAAGTAGTAGTTGTGATCAATATTTTAAAAACATTGCACAATTTTAATTGGAATCAATGAAAATGCTCGAGGATAGGGCCAACGGCGAAGGACTTTTGTGCCTTTCAGACGACGAATTACGTTCAGTAAAAAGGAACTCTTCCATTTCCGATGTTTACGACGTCGAGGATACTGTATTTGCAAGGTAAGCTTTTTTAATCTGTGTTATTGAGCAAATTCATTGTCAAACAGTCACATTTTATTTTAAAACCGTCTACCACCGTTTTTTTTACTTATTGAATATAGGAGATTAGATAGTAATTCATTTTAAACGCTTCAGATTAATCTTATCTGCGGGTTGATTTAGGTGGAAATGAAATTAATTAACGATTAAAAAGATCTTGGAATTTCGGTCATTTATTGGGTAGGTAACGAGAAATCTTCACGACGTTGCCAAATCTCTTATTCTCTCTTTTCGCTCGTCCGCCCGCCGTGCATTTTCTATTTATCTCAACAATTCCATCCAATACCCTACTTTCTCTGGACAGTGTCGTATTGCGTTCGCGACCTCAGAGATGTTTTTCTCGATTCGAAACACGACGATACCACCAATATGATATATATCTCTGTATTGTTTTCATTAATCGTAGGTGCCTATGAAAACAAAAAAAAACGTACGTAACAATTTGACAGTTGTTTTACTACTTTATTTACAATTTGTTTTCATGGCCGCCTACGATTAATGAAAATATTGTAAAAACGAGATAGTATTTTTTTGCGAATAACTCCAAAAAAGTTAGAAACTTTATGGGTTTAAGACATAATAAAAATATTTAAGGAAATAACCTTTGTGAACACCTGTATAGCATTGATCCCGTGGTTACATTTTTACAAAAGTGATCTAATAACATTGCCCAACTTTAATCTTTCTAAGACAAACCATATTGAAAATATTTGAGAAAATGTTTAAATATTTCTTAACTTGTGATTCATATTATGCCACGACTTACAGCAACACCTGTATAGCTTATTATATCTACATCATGATATTCTTGATGGTTTACACAATGCCTTCTTTCCTACTTTCCTGCTTTAGGATAATCCTTTATTTTTCGTACTAAATGTCGCTGATTTGGTCACCGCCTAATTATTGATATTGAAGCGTCTTTTAGTCATGGATTGCAGAATAACTGCTATCCTCAATTTTTGCGATCTTTCACACTGGTTTCTTTTCCTGGGACTGTTGAATCATTAATTTTCTCAGTTCAATAGTCGTTTGGTCCCTTTGTTTTGTCATTTCGAATACTGCTATGTTATTCAGCTACCATATGATATCCACTGTAATTCAAAGGCTATATTAATTTAATGCATAATTGTATATATTAATAATAATAAATAAATTGTTGAAAGTCAATTTATTTGGTTATTTTTTTTTAAATATTTTTAAAGATGTGTCCAAACATAACGCGGCAACAACACGCGGCGTTCGCAAAATACACTTTTGTCGCGCACAAGTTTAGACATGTTAAAGAATGTTGCAAATATAGGTATTTAGACAATACAGCAGGAGATTTTTGACAAAGAGAGTGATGAGATGATAAGCATACATCATCAGGAATGGGAGCGTCGTTGAAGGTTTATAAGATTCAAACATAGAGTTAAAGTAGCAGATTATAGAAATCAGGATAAATGTGTTACAAAATTACAGAAATAATTGGGAGAATGTAGAAGCATGGAATGAGAAGACAATTACCGTTGACTATTAGATGTGTGATGAATTGTTCTAAAAAATGTCAAAAAACAAACTGTACATATTTGAATGTATCATGATAAAAAGGACAAAATTCTATAAATAAGTCGTAATGAAAGCAAAAAGGTTTGGATGTGCTAAATCATTTACGGATGAATTGAGAAAAGTTTAGATATAGCATCAAAAAAGTATATATTATCCTGAAACTAAGTACATAGATGTGGCAACATTAAGAAATATAAATTAAGAAATGTGTAACTTATTCGAAACACACTTTAAAGATAACATTATAACTTCTCCACTTAAGTATATAGTTATACAAAAATGTTGTACGTTTAATAGCGATATTACACAATTGAACAAGTTAGGCTTAAATTCAAACTAAAACGCACAGTGTATGCGTACGCTTCGGGATTCCACAACATATAACCTATTCATTTATATGATTCACTTCTCAAATATGGTCAAGAACTTACAACCTCGCTGACATACACGTTAGATATCAAACGATGAAAATCTAGGAAAACCACTTTGATGAAAGTAAAGAAGGCGAAGTTGAATTTAGTGGTCGAAATGATATGATTGGTTGATAATATTGTCTTGGAATTGAAACGACAACGTATATATACTGATGTATGTATGATGTTGGGTCTGTATTCGAATTCGGAGATTTTAATTGCCTTAATTAAATACTTCAAGAACGAGTCCAAATGATCTAGATTATAGTTTATTTCACGAATATATCCGTTATAAATATTCCCATATCATAATATATATCGCAGAAATCTGTTGAAGTTCATCAGAGAAAAAAAATTATCATCAAGTGCTAGAAGTGACAGATCATTTTCTGCTTTAGAAAGAGCGAAATGACATAAAAGAAACCCATTGAGTGATGAAAAAACTAATGATGTATCTCTTTTGACAATTGAAAAGTAGTTATCGTTAATCCGGCACTGATTGTTTCGAATTATCTGGTGGATATTGCATTTTAACACTGATAGTGGCATAAATTATCTACATTTTATTCTCAAAGTCGAGTAATTATTTCTTATGAAACACCTGACTTTTGCTCGATTAGGAAAATAAAATCATTTGATAGAGAAACACCAAGCTTTATAAAAATATAATATACATATATGGTAAATCCAAGTAAACACGTTAATTTCTGTGAGCTGCAACATGTATGTGACATAAAAATTATAACTATATTAATTTTATTTAATTTATTTTAAGAATCATAAAGCTCAGTATCTTCAGCGTAATCTAAAGAAAAGTGATATCAAAGGTATGCTTAAGAAAGATTCTACCTCACATATTCTTTGCTCATAAATGTGCACATATGGTGTAATAGGTGAAAATTTTCAGATCACGAATTACAATTTAGGAGTTAGCACAATCTATTAACACTCAAACATATCTTTGGTTGTTAATTATTTCCGAGTTTTCCGATGAATTTATCCCTCATTTTAAGTAAATGTTTACCCATGAATTGTATTGAATTACTTGAAAAAAGGTTAAATACCCCGAAATTGTAAACTTAAAGGTGTTAAAATTGAACTTCACACCTTTAAATATTTCCCGTTGTTCTGCCATTTTTGTAATTGTTTATATATATTTTGTTCTTTAACCCAACTTGAACAAAACATATCTTGAATCACATTTTATCGCTTTATAGCCTTCTTTTTAGCTAAAACGAATGTGTGATAAAGTAACACTTTTCGTAAACAAAAAATTATTTTTATGTTTTAATGAATTATTAGTTCACAAAGCAGTAGTGAATCATTTTATACATTCCAGGAAACAGCAGATATAGACAATAATCAGTATAATTGATAATAGTTTGCTTTATTTTTATTTAAATTGATATTGCTTTTTGGTTATGTTACAGGGCACGTTTTTGTTTTATTTTAAATATTCTTATCAAAAGCCTACCTATTTATTTTGTTCGATATGTGACTCACGCATACGTGTGTACTTATAACATTCTAATCATATGATGTCATATAATCTTTAACTAAAATATAATTCAAAAATATGTTTAAAATATTATTTTCAGAAATATCATAGTTCCAAAAATAAAACTAAAAAAATTTAATTTTTATCATCTAAATATATAGCTGACATATAGGATAACTTTTTATTTTAGCGTATATGATTCAGAATTTTTCTTAAAAATAAATTTGATAGATTTTATCTTGTTGATTTCAATATTTCCACACGTCCTACTTTTCATTAATTTTCTGTTTTGTTTCTCTAAATCTCGCAACAACTTGGTTTTTCTGGGATATTACTCAAAGTCTTTCGAAAATTGTGAAACATAAAAATGCAAGATTAAGTCACACACACGATGGTAAAATAACGTCTCTTTCGTGTGGCAGTTAGTCATACAAGGCCAGGTTGACGATTTCTGCCGTATTGTAAACATTTCCTTTCCCACAGGTTTTATTTTTAGACCATTACACGTATGTACCTGACGAGTGGCCGGATTGCACTTGAAAGATCGCATTCACAATTACGTTTTTTTCTCGTTTACGGGACGGGAAATAATGACTTTGCTATCGCGCTAATTCCGCCGGCAGCCGTTTACCCTATTAACTGTTATTATTATGTCACGGCGGCAACGCGTTGCTGCGTCTCCGATGGCAAATATTAATTATTCTCGTTAGTTCTCGTAACAAAACCGCGTACCCGTATCTGGATTCCGATAAGGGTGAACGCAGATTAAATTATTGCGAAAATTGACGATAAACGACTCCGGCGCTCTCTCGAGTCACTCGAATCAAACATTTTTCTTGTCTTTTTTTAAATTCTTCAACCCGTATCTGTACACCTCAATTATTACAATTAGTTTCTGGTATTCCATAATTACCTTTAACGATTAACATTTATTTATCGTATAGTTAATTGGCAGTATAACTGACGTTGATGTGTTTTGTCTTCTTCGTAATGAGGAAAGTAATCGTTTTTTTCGAAATAGATTTATAATCTTTTAATGGAAAATGTATCTACTAAATCGTGTGCTACTTATTTTATCACGATCATGATATTATTCAAATTAGGTTTATGTCGACGGCGGCGAAACGGCAGCGTATGCGTATGACCGACTGACTGTGGTTGAGAGGAAGTATACATTTAGGACAGTCGGCGGTTCCGATGAGAACGAGGCATAGTTTCACATGATGGAGAAGCCGATGAAGTCACGGCCTCAGGGTTTGACCGTCTGACCGATCTGGATGCGAGAACGCTCTCGTCTCCAATGAACTAACTGTACTTTTGTCGCCAATAGGTGAAAGAAAACTCGAGTAAAGTAACACAGCCGAGTAATCTACTTCAAAAAATGTGACATCTAATCTATCTATTAAGAATTTTTGTCATATTAACCATTAAAGCCTTTACCGCAGCTTATTACCTCGCACAAACAAAACCAATTCGAATTCCCCAGTGTTTTGCAAAGA